CCCCGGAGCGCCCGGGCGCTACCCGCTCTTCGGCCTGCTTTTGCTTGTGCTGGTCGCGGGCCCTGCCCGGGGCTGGAACGACCCTGGTGAGTGCTGTCGGGGTCCGCAGGCGCCCCGTTCGCCCTTTCCTGCTGCCTTCAGCGGCGCCGAGAGGCCCCGACGGAGACCGTTGTGCTGGTCGCCCGTGAGCCTCTTTGCCTGGTTCCTCTTTTCTGTCTCCTTTGCTGTTCCTCGGTGCCCTGCCTGGATCCTCTGCTCTTCCCTGACTTTCGACAAGTGGGGACCGGCAGGGAGCGGGCGGGGCGGCTCTGTATCCGTAACGTCCCCTCTTCCTTCCCTGGACTCCCAGGCTGTGTCCACCTTCTTCGTTCTCGGGCTTCAGCCCTTATCTCCGAGTCCGGTTAGAAGCTCAGCGCTTAACCTGCGCATCTCGCTTCGTTGTCATGGCTGTCATGTCATCGTCTCGACTGTTGTCATGGCCTCCTGTTGCTATGGCTGGCAGTTGCCATGGCACCGGCGGTGTCCCTTAGCGCACAGGGCTGCAGACCTGGTCGGTCAACAGAATCATAGATTGTACCATTTTCGTCACCAGAACTGCTGCTTATTCTGGTCACTGCAGTGAAGTCCTTTGAGTTACACCAGCTTTTCCTGTTGGTATTCACCGTACACAGAGATTTAAAACATATTTTCATCTTATTATTTTTCTTGGTGATGGTACACAATAAATGATTTCTAGGGAAGAGATTCGTTCATATCATTGTTATTAAAATTGTCTAAAGAAGTTTTTGAGATGAATAATCCGTGCAATTAATATACACACAAATACGTACCAGATTTTGACGTTTTCGATTTGATAAATGATCCATGGTGTTTAATTGGAATTATGTAAAAAATGACTTTTCTGCAGGTAAGAAGACATCGTTTTTGATTTGGAGAATAAAGATGTTAAGGCATAGAAAGCATACCAATATTGCATTTGTGATTGGAAGTGCCTACATTTTTGAATTTAAGCAACAGGTTTATTTCTGTAATGTCCTGTTTTATTCCTACATGCTGAAAT